GCCCCCCAATAATTTCCCAACAGTTCTCAACTCCCGTTTTAAGTCCTCCCATGTGTCAACTCGACACCGACCTTATTGGATCTCCTCCCAACGAGTTCGCCACCAAAGTTTTGCATCTCTGTTTAGATACATGATTGCTATAGAAACTTTGGTTTTTTCAGAATCAGGCCTCATAGCTCGAAAGTATTATTCCATATCGAACAGAAAATTCTCGAGCTCTTTGTCATCTCGGGCACCTCCAAAACAATGCTGCTCAGGTGCTCTCAAGTTTTGTACCGGTACAACGCGGGTGTTGCTTCCTCCCACATTCAGTGCTCTCATGAGCATAGTTACCTTGGAAGTGAGTTTCTCCATGACTTCCTGCAAGTGTTGCACGGAGTCTTTGGTGTCATTTGACAATCGGTCAACTAGGGCCTTAACCTTGTCAATCAGGGACTCCGATTCTTCTTGCGAGCTCTCTACCCCAACAAGCATTCGTTGGCCATGGTAGAGTTCCTCTAAGCTCGCTTCGAGAACATCCAAGTGGGTTTTCACTATTGTTAGTCTCTCCTTATGGCTCTTCTTCCCGGTTGGCGCTCTAGATTACGCCTCCTCTGCTCGTGGAGAGTAGCCAACTTCTCGCTTATCATGTTCGCTGTCGTGCTCCACTTGAGTGGCTCCAACAACATGAGAGCAAGTATGCACTTGTAGCCCACCTGCGGCTGCATGGGGCAAGGGTCAAGCTTGCCCCATCTTGTTTGATTTGCCATGATACTTTGCCATGGCAAAATTACAAAGTTCCTTTACTGCTTGCTCGAATTGCTTGCCCGCTCTAATACCATAATGTCATAGGCTTAGCTGGACTTACCTAAGTCATGAGACACCCTTGCGGCAAAGACGCAAACTTAGCCTGTGTTGCCTAAGTCGCACCTCGCCCTTGTGATATGCGTCCACAAAGATCAGCCCACTTGCAACCTCTCAAAGGTCCCAAAGGACCTGTAAAAGAAAATTTTGATCAGTTCGAAGAACGAGCGACAGAGAAGTCCTGATGTCTCGCGAAAAGGAGAAGCTTTACAAGTAATTCAGCGAGCACCTTGCGTGCACAAGAGAAAAGAGGGAGAAGAGGAAAACAAGGACTTTAGAAGGTTGAACAAACACTTGCAAGTCCACAAACAGCTGCTCATCGGGCGCCGGGTGCGACAACAAGTTCCCGTCAAGGTAACGTGCGAACTTGCGAAAGATTGTTCAACACCTGACACTATACCGAAGTCCCATCCCCCATGGTGCCACTCGGATGGTTCTAAAGTGTTGAGATGGCTGACATTTCGCATATAGCAGCGGACTGTAGAAAACAACCCATGGCATGTGAAAACGGAGCTGTTTTGGGCTGTTTTGCTCGATTTGGTGAGCGATCGCATTGTAGCGTTGTAACTTATTCGAACTTACATTTTTACAAGAAAAAAAATATAAAACCAAGCTAAAACATACTGCTAAGCAATTGTACATGTAAACATAAGCGACGAACGATTCGTTGAACGGAGTTGCTGCGGGTGCGCGACGACCATTCGTGACAGATTGCTTAATCAATTTCCTTTAAAATGAGCCTTTTCACAATCTGGTGGGTAGCACGCTGGCCTTGCCTCAACATCCGTCATAGAGGGAGGAGCTTCTTAACACTTACGATAGTCAAGAAGGCCATAATGGAGAGCTAGTCTCCTGGGCTTAAAGAGGAAACCACTAGCCGCATTGCATGCTTCAACATCCAGAGCTTCTCCCTTGTCATGTCTTGGCTCATGTCTAGCACCGTCACCAAATCGAGGCGCAAAGAGGGGCAAAGGATCCTATCGATGGCGCTTTCCCCTTGAGAGCCACCACATAGTTTTTGTGCCTTTGCTCTTCCGAGAGTAGGGCCGCTTGCAACATCACACTCATAAGGACGCCACCAGTCTTGAACCTCGGTGCTGGTTGATGAAGGACACCTCCATCAGTGCGATTAGTAGACCGGGTGCGAGGGGTCGCAAGGAGCCCATAGAACTCGTCCTCTCATTCTACGTCCTTCGTCTCCGCGTTGTCACCATAAGCTTCCTCATCTTTATCCTCGTTAGTTGCTTATAATATAAGATTGAACTGCATGCCTCCTCCTTGGTTAGGCTTTAACACAAGCAGCAGTGACTCGTCGTTGTCATAGACCTTAGTAGCAACAGTAGTGGCGGCAATGACAGCCACTTTGTTCTCCCCTAGTTGTCGTTCCTCGCCTTAGCTGGTGTTCTAACTATCGCAATTGGTAGTTCTCCTATTCAGGTTTCGGTTCTCCATCTCTCCTACCGCCCCTTGCTCGACAATGGGTGCATCGTCTTCTCGATGATGGAGCACAGAAAAGAAGGGCACATGATACCAAGAGGCAGAGCAAATGGAGCAAGCAAGGTTGGTGTGGTTCTTGACATGGGCGACAATACAAGAAGAGTGAAAGGCATGGGAGCACTTCACTATGAAGGCTGGAGCTCCCGGCTCACCTTCATAGGGTTGATTAGGCAACCGGTTTATATTTTCAAATCCATATATTATTAATTTAAAAAAAATTAAATTACTCATATCATTATATTAATGATTTATTGTGAGTCAACATAATATCCGTTAACTCATATTTGATTGGAGGAAATTATATATTATATTTTTTAAAATATAAGCAAACTCTATGACCAAAATGACGGGATTAAAATAGACCTTAAACCTTTTATAAAATAAATCATGATAATTAGATGTTTCTGAATAGGTTCAAGTATATTATATTTTATTTTTGAGTGTAACAACGCCTTCCATCAAATCATTTCAAATTTTTACAACTCCCTTAAAACATGATTCTGACAAGGATTGTAGTTTTTTTAAAAATTTGTATTAATTTTAGGATAACTAATTATCAAATTTATGTAGTTTTTGATAAGTTCAATGAATGTATTTTACTTCTTTTTCAAGTGTAATAGGTCTTCTACTACCAAACTATCTCAAAGTTCCATAACTTCCCTAATACATATTTCTAACCAGATTTATAGTATTTTTTAATTTTTTTATTATTTTAGGATGATTAATTATCAAATTTGATATTTTTTTGGTAGGTTTTATAAAATTATTTTAATCAAATATTGCTTGCTTCTTATTTGAAGATGTTGTCATCCTAAGTATTTTATAAATATTCAACCAAAAAAATCTTCATAAAACTAATATAAATTAAAATTCATAAACCCGCTATTCATGAGAGCATGAAATATCAAAATACTAACATGAATATATTTTCCTTTTGTATTATTTATAACTATCTCTATAGACGTTTGAACTTAAAATATATTACTTGAATGAAGGTGAACAACATAGATACAAGGCTTAACTTTAGACCTACAAATTTCTTTCTCAATCAAGGGTGTCAATATAATAGTAATAGCATTGGTAGAATGACAAGGAAACTAAGACCACTCGATAATGTTTAAAAATCGACGGACATCTTTCGATAATAAATTCATGCTTTTAGAGTCTTTTATTTTTAATGTCGCATACATTGTTAAAAAAAAATAGAAATCCAATGATAGCTTTTAATATAATTTAATAATTAATTTTTACATACATTCATTCAACTTGAATTGGTGCTCTTATAGTAGACCAAAACAGTTTAATCGGTCCATATCTCACTTAATAAATTCTCGCGAAGATGAATCATATAGTAACAATGATGTGCATCTAGAAACATATCTTTTATTGCTGTAATAATTTCAAGATTTTTATCATCGACAATGCATAAAAACTCATTAACAGACACTAATTTATTTTCTCAACTCAAAAAAAAAAAAAAAAAAACCTACATGTGCTTCACTATAGTAATCAAACAAACAAACATTCATTCCTTCGATAGCCAAAAACTTTAAACTCATGAATAATAAAGTATTATTACCCTGATGTATGATCCATTGAAGTCCACCAACTTCATACGATGTGATTTCAAAGCAGAAATATGTTCTTTTACATGAAACATCTACTCCAAATCTTTTTGAATCATCTTTCAAGTATATTGTTTATTGGCAAAAACTTGTTGTTTGATTTGTTCACAGAAGAGCAACCCTCTTGTTTCGTTGAAGAGCAGATCGAGATCAACACAAAAGTAATTTAGGAAATATAAGAGAGAATCGAGAAATTTATTGAACTAGAGCAGATCGATTCAACTGAATAAAACCAAGCAAGCCATAAATTCTACCTTAGTCCCAAGTCATTTAATATAAAAAGTGAGGACGTTTCTATGAACATCTCTAGTCTTCTTTTGTTTTTTAATACAAAGACACCACCCAATAAAAGATCAATAGTGAAACTTTTTCTGATAAGTTGTCCTTACATTAAAACAACACAATAAAACAAGACTAGTCATTCCTCTACACAAAATTGAACTCAAGAGGATCTAACCATAGTTTGTGGCACAATGATTTCCTCCCTTAACAATAATCTTAAAAATATCTGTGAAAAACAGTAACATCCAGAGGAAACTCAGTGCTTTTGGTTTATTATGTTAATGATAACCTCAACATCAAGTCTCGATGATAAATTTAAGATGCTAAGTCAAACTTGATAATGGACAAAATCATATGCTACATGATATGAATGATGAGATGCCAAAACTCAATACACATGCAAGAGATGATACTGATCAAGAAACAAAGACAACTTTTACCGAAGAATGATTATATTCAAATTTTTGTTCAAATAACGACTGAAGTAAGCGAAAAATCAAGAGGATCAGATCAATTTCCCATGTTGCATAGTCCATCGTGACAAAAGAATCACCTTAAAATGATCAACTCCACGATGAACATACGTGGACATGTGACACATCGAGCCATGAAACCAAATCCATGGCTCCACTCCGATATTAAAATCACACATTCCTCAAATACTGGCTCAAATTTATAAGCAAACAGTGAATGAGAGTCCAGAGAAGTCTATTTGCTATAAACTACTTGCAGATGAGCACCAGTCAGAACGTTATTTCATAGGCACCTTACAAGATCCATGAAAGATATACAGACGAGCTATCTCATACAACCTCAAGAAATTCAACCTGCGAGAAAAGCGTACAACTGCTATTTCACTTATTATGTACACAAAGTAAGCCTAGAAATGCTAAATAACATGAAAACCTATACTTATGCCATCCAGCTACCGTCCATCCTCTGTTCTCGAAAGCATAATTCATACAGAAACTTAATGCGGAGCTCCACATAATCACAAAATGCCTGGAATAAACAAAGAGATTGACAAGATAATGGCATTATGAAGATATGTGCCCAACATACCCTGGATTCTTCCTGGTAAACACTCTCCTACAATGTTCTTTCAGTACGTTCCCATTGGGGGCATACCAAATGGCGGCACCGGGGGCATCCCCATACCAGCCATAGGTGGTGGAGCTGGATAAGGTCCACCCATGCCAGTAGCACCCACACCAGGTATTGGTGGAGCTGGCAGTGCAAGGGGTAGCAACTGTGCATACATATTCTGCAAATGAGAGATGAATATCATTGCTAGGCAACAGAAAAAATAAAGACAAAATAAATTACAGAATAAAGATCGTCAAGAATGCACCAAACATGCCTGCTGAGTAACCAAATCCTTTTCCTCTTTTTCTTTAACTTTCACTTCATTCTGTGCTTCAATCTTATCTTTAATAAGTTCATCAACCTTGCTAGTATACTCACGAATAAACTGTAGATATGCAACAATCACATCAGAGTTGACAGGATTCAGAAAGATATGTACATAAGTTACTGAGGTTCGAAAAACAACCCAACTGCATCCACAAGGATATACAGCAATCACCTGCAAGAGGTATGGAAAAGCAAAATCCAGCATATTGTTCATCCAGGCAAGCTCAAGGGCAACATCAGGACGGATCAAGTCATAACAAATAAAAAGACATGAAGAAAAGCATTCCTTCTTTCCCTGCCATAAATAACCAAGAAATCATCAGGATACCATCGATGCACAGTTAATAGCAAATGGAAGAGAGTGCACAGATATAATCCAAGCACAATTATAAGTGAATGGATAAGGGAAAAGCTTGTTTTTCTAATTCTAATTACAGCATTTAGTTATGTCTAATGTTGAAATGATAACATTAATCCTACATAGGAAATAAAGGCATTTGAATTTGTTTATGATTAATATAATATCTAGAACTTGCTCTTCTTACCCTAACACTAACGACCACCAGAGATCATGGCAAATAACAGTTTAGACTGAACAGTGAAAACAAGGATACGAAAGAACCACTAAATGGCGACAAGCAATCAGGGATTCTTGTAATCACGAATTATTAAACATAATGCAAGCAACCGTTATAATTACAGAACCAGCCGATATCAACTTTGTATACCAGCTTAAACATATGAGAACATCATTCATTTGTTTCACATTACATTATGCTTCCGTATATTATTTCAACTGAATAGCACATCTGAAGATGACGATTTGGTCTCTGGTTCCTGCAATGACATTATTGAAAAAAAAAATTTTCTTTCTTACCCACTTAGTCATTGGTCAACACACTGGACTAAATTATGAAAATAATCCCTGTTTTGCATAGGTTCTGGTTCTACAACCATTCTACTCCCAAAACGAACTGTCACATGTATGATTTAAAAGGGTAAGGACAATGCTGGTAGGAAAAGTACAAGGCACTCAGTTTACAGGCTTCAGCCAATCCAGAATGTGGGGAGTGACAAACATACGCAATCATCCCATTGCATGTAGATATATAGGTTGTTTCTGTAACTCTTGACACCGAAGACTGCAATGAAGCAACTTGATGCCACGCATCAAATGGCAGCACATAACAGACTCCTTTCTTTATTGACATGAAAACCATTCATATAACATGGTATCCACAATAAGTGAACATGAAGTAACATAACTATTTTGATATCTGATTAGAGGAGGTTTCTTTCAAATAACCAACTACAAAGTCATCAAATTCAACAATATAATCAAAAAATAAATAAATAAATCCAAATAAAAAGGTAGCTTCAATTTGGCAAGAACCGAATAAGATGATTGAGGAACAAAATTTGAATATAGCTGAGGAAATGAAGAGAATTCCTTCCATATATGACAACGAGTACAGAACAGTAAAAAATATCAGCATATCCAAAGGTTGACAAATAGGTGCTAGTTATCAAGCCCAGTACCTTTTCGATAAAATAAACAAGCAGCTCTTCAGAAAGTTCACGATCACCAGACTGTGAACATGTCTCCATTGCATCTTTGTATAGGTTGTCCTTCTTCGATAGTGCAATGGATTGCTTCCATCTTCCTGCTTTCTTGTAGATATATGCAGCGATACGTCTCATCTCAAGAAGCTCATGCTTTTCAATCTAGTTCGTAAAATACTCATCAGGACTCAAGACTGCACCATAGTATTGCAATTCAAAGTAAAAGAGTAGGACAAATTTACCCTCTGGGCGAGGCCTATCTGATCAAAGTTGTCATGCGTATCAACTGATTCCCGTAGCCTGTCATAGTCCTCCTCCTCGACATAAATTTCATTTAGTGCCTCGTTAACTGCAGCTACATTGTTACTTTGAACTGCAACCATGTATGGCTTGACAAGATGCAAGTGACCAGCCTGGTACATGCAAGGGTTTAGTTATCCAGATAACCTAACTTTAACCATACAGTAGCCGTATATACCCTTCACTATGAAAGTTACGATGGTGAAAGTAAATTATGAGTACAGATTTACACCTTCCGCATAATATCTACAACACGAGTGTGGTCCACACGAAGAGCAAGTACATGCAAAAGATCATTAATCAGGTCTGGATGTTCTTGCAGGTAGAAATGCACTGCCTTGTAATAGAGCTCAACATTTGCAACTTTAATAACTACATCTTTAAATTGCATGTGATCCCATGCATCTGGAGAATGGTTCATAATAGTTGTGGCGGCATTGTCAAACTCATCATACTGAATATACAGATAGGTAAGCTCCTGCCAATGCTGTTGCTCATCACAAACACGGATAAGCTTGGGAATATTAAGGCGAGTCGAAAAAAGTTTAATGTGCTCCATAAGTTTCTCTGGTCGATATCTAGCATACAAGACTCCTAACTCCGTGAAAATACCCATGTGTGCGCGTTCCAATCCAAGGCCACTTTCCATGAGAGAAATTAACTCATTAAAGCAGCCTCTGTTCTGATAATAATCACTGACCTCTTCCAAGTCATCCACCTGAAGTGAAAATTTTAGTGATTAGGATCCAGTAGGGAGGATGAGGTCCCTAGATAACATAGTAGTGACAAGAAACTAGATTGAGAAAAGGTTTTTACTATAAATTCATATTACCTGGATGATGATATTTAAACCACAAATTTGTGCCAAGCGGAATTCCTCAGCATCAACACAAGCAAAACAGACTTCCTTCCATGTCTTTGAGCTATTTGCTTTTCGAGCAGCATCCACTGCACCCTGGAACTGTCTGAGCTTGACCAACGTACTAGCTAGCTTTGCCCAGTTGGAAATGAAAGTAAATATGATCTTGGCAGCTTCATAAAGGGCATCATCAAACAAGCGATCTCCAACATTTTGGAGATTAGCAACGTTGGGCATCAGAATGAATTCCTCAATTTCACCCAGCCTATCAATCTTTGCATAAGCATATATGAGTTCACTATCCACTTTTGGTTCCTTGACCGTTTGCCTTACCATCAATAAGTATTTCACCAAGTCATGGTAAATGTTTGAATCTTCTGCAGCCCGAATAACATCTAGGAACTGAGTAGCATCATCCGCTCGAATAAATGACTCAATTGCTTCACTTACTAACCCTTCCCGTAATTGAGCTTTGCCCACCTGACTCCATACAGAATCTTCTTCTACATGGAATGCAAATTCTACAGCCCGCTCTATGCTTTGGATGTTGTCCAGGAGGACATTAACAGCCTGCACATTTAAGTTGAATTTTTTAAAAATGGCAAAGGCTTCCTCGAACAGTTGAGCTTCAATTGCCACCTCACCCACTGCAGGGCCATCAAAGTTGTCCAATCTATTTATGTAATCCATGACCCTAGATGGATCTGCTTTGATGGAAGTTAAGATCAAAAGGTTTTGCAGATTGAAATTCCCACTAAAGGCTGAATTCTGGAGCACAATCTTTTCAAGTAATTCGATCAGTTCATGAGGAAGATCAGCAGTCATGAAAGCCTTAACAGCTGCAGAGACTTGCTCCGGGTTCTTGCTTTCAGGCAATGCAGTAGAAACAACCTGATCAATAAACTGCCTTCTGTATTCATTTTCAGGAACAAGAACTTTCTCCCATAGATCAGCATCCATTCTTTCAACAACATATCTGTCACAAAAGAAAGATAACAAATCAATTAAGACAGATCATAATGATAAAAAAGAAGATAAAGATAGATGCTTCTAGTACAAATAAGTTGAAAGAAAAAAGAACGATACCTAGCCTGTAACTTGAACAATGAATTTTTATTAGTGACATTTATTAGTTCATCATCACATTGACCTCGTCTGTATGCAACAACTGCAAGCGTGGGGTCCCGCTTTTCACAATATTTACCCACTACACGTGAATCATAATACGGATTTGTAGTCAGAAAATGCTCTGGGTTATTATTGCTGTCTATGATGATCATTCCTAGAGCATTGTGAACATGTGCATCTTGGCTTCCTTCACTCACAAGATGTTCCAGAAATTGTGTGAGTAGCCGCAGACGGTTCCTGTCAGGCCATAATGCAGCAAACACCAAAGATATTAGTTAAGAGAGTTTATTTCATTAAGTAAAGCATGAGATGTCACATACCTCTTCTCACATTCAACCACAAGAGACTCAACTGGAAGGAGAGAACGGACAGAAAGAATCAGACCTTTTATAAAATCTTCAGGACACTCATCATCTAGCAGCTGTCCCACCACTAAAGGTGCATTACCTGGGTTCACCTATAATAGATTAACACAGCAAACTGTTAATCTATGAGATCTGATAGTTCCAGTGAACTAGCCATGACCACAGCAATGTTTTATTGTCCCAAGTGGCTATATAATGAGTGTAAACAGTACTGCAGAAAATAAAAATGGCAAAATGGTGAAAAGATCATACTTTCTGGACGTAACCTTCAATATATCGAAGCATATTGTTTGTGTACAAAAAGTGAGTTAAATCAGGAACAAAACCAAAACGGTCGCAAACATTTATCAAAGGCCTTGCATCAGGAAGTTTGGCTTCCATCAGGAAATTCTTTGTTTTCTCTGGATTATAGAAGTTGGATTCTCTTGTTACACGTTCAACTTCTTTGATTTGACCAGTTTTGGCTGCTGCCTCAATATACTTAAAGTGTATATCTGGATCTTCACTGTTTCAATTGAATACAAAGAAATATGTGGAAAAGAAAAAGGTTAACAACCTAGTCATAGTACTAAACTTCCCATCTAAATACATTGCATGTCAAACCAAGTACCTGGAACTCAAGTATGATCCTAAGAAGAAGTAAAGGCCTTCATAGGACTTAAATTGCTCAAATAGTTTAATACAAGCATCCACACCTAACTGCTCAGAATATTCTTTGGCAGTCTGAAAAAACATAAGATCGTCATAAGTAGATATTAGTTAAGTGATCAATCATCAAATTATTCTTCAGTGTGAGAAAACTAAATAAAGTTATACCTGAACAATTATCTGAAGGTTTGCTCTCAAATTCACAAGCAAAAGGTCCTTCATGCATTCTAAAGCCCACTCTCTGGAAAGGGTCCCAAAGAACTCCACAAGTGCCTAAAAACCAGTAGATCTATTCTAATACCAACCATAAATCAAATTATATATATATATATATACATACACATACATACATATATATATATATATATATATATATATATATATATATATATATATATATATA